GAGAAATAATAAATTCCAAATATCTGATTTTTTTTTTTAATATTTTATTATATTTGGTAAATATGAAAAAAAGTTGCAAGATAATTTTTTTCGCGTTGGATAAATTTCCTTTCGAAATCATAAATTTTATAATGTTAAAGAAACATTATGTTAAAAGGATACTAACGTACTTCGAACAATGAAAATCTTTTATAAAGGAGGCAAAGCTTATTTGCCTGATTTATTTATTGAAGTATATATACAGTACGTACAGCAAGAATAAAAGTAGAAAATATGATTGATGAATTGCATTAAATTTATTAACGTCTGAAAGTAGTAAGTAAAAGTATAATTTAAAGTCAAAAATTATTATTGATATCAATCTGTGCGACATTCGATTTCTCATATATATGTATATTGTGCCTCAGATGACGATTTGCACAACACCCATTTTCATCTTTTATCTAAAAATTGTCGACCATCACTCTTTGGTGTCTTGCTAAAGGAAATAAGTCTGTTTTCAAAAATCTCAGTTAAAACGAATAATAATATTTCCGATCTCAAGGAAATCCTCAAGGAGAAAAAGAGTCCATGTTTTGACAATTTTGCTTCTGACGAACTCATTTTATGGCGTGTCATCGTCGAACAGAGTACGATTAACACGATGATAACAAATTGTTAATATCAGGAAATACGGTTGAAGAAACTTTTCACGACCTCAGAGAAAAAATATATATTCAAGTTGTAGTCGGAACTCCTGGTGAGTCATAAATTTAGTCAATGTGATTTAGCGTAATTTTTTTTTGTCTTTCTCTGTCATATTTGTCATTAATATCGAATACTTATTCTTGTCAAGCTCGCCCAAAAAACACATTCATGTTATCGTAGATCAACCCGCTGCCGGTAAGTGAGTCGGTAATAAAATTAATCAACGCGACTTGGCTTCTATTTTTCTTTCCTGCTTCTCACCTATTAAAATTTTTTTTAATAAATTAAATTTATTGTACTTCGTTTCTAAGTAGCATCAGCACGGAGTTACTATGAGATGCAAGTTGACATGACTGCCTTGATCTGTGATGCTCTCATTCAATCATTCGATACCGTTCCAAGTCAAGTGGATGATCTTAAACCTCTTATTGATGCGCCGCTTATTCGAAAATTGCCCGTATCTATTTACGAAGAAAGACAATTTTCTCAGGTTGCAGAATTTATCCAAACAACTGATGATGAATGTGGACCGGTCCTTGCGGTCCTCGGTCCAGTCCTTGGACCTGTCCTAATATTTTACTGTAACGAAATGGAAAATATCGGAAATGGATATTAAGAAGGCGCAATAATCGTTTCGTATGTAATTTTTATACTTTATTATTTATTAAATTTATACAATTATTTTATTAAAATGATCATTTTATATGTATATATCAGGTGAATATAATATGTTCCGGACCAGTCTTATAAATCGGTCTGGTTTGAGAAGAAAAAATCTTGGACCGGACCGAACTGGTAGGACCGAATGGTACAAGACCGGTCTTATCCTTGACTGACTTATGGAACGATGAAAGGCCGGACTTTTTTAACTGGACTGATTGAACCCTAATAGAGGAGTGCTTCCAATTGAAATGGATCAGGGCAGCAACGACCAGGAACCTACAGCGATAGATGTCAAAAAAACCTGGATTTTTATGTTGGACGAACGGTATGCTTCTATTTAAAGGCGAAGAGAAGACCGAAGTTAAAGAATTTCCAGTTGCTGTGCGTGAACTTGAAGAAAATTCAATATGTTTGATACTTTGAATTTTGGAGACATAAAATTATGATATGTTACGCCGCAGCAGGATCGTATTTGCGTTTTTATTCAATCAATGGATTGCCAAACGCAAATCCGCTAAATTCCTCTTTTAGATCGATTTGACATCAACATCCGAGAACGGTGTTTCCATCTTATGTACAGTTATCAATATTTCACGCATAATGAGGACTCTGAATAATGCAATTCCCGAAACAATCGTTCCTATTGAAATTTGACAAATTGACGATTACTCGGAGAGAAAATGATCCCACTGGAATATCTTCTATGTAGAGTTTGGAACCAGCCAAAAATCCTTTAGCCGATTAATAACCGGTAAAATATTTGTTAACCGGTTAGTTAACCGGTTAAAAATTAACCAGTTCCAACCTCTACTTTCATGTGAAGAAGAGAATGTACAACTGTGCAAAAGGTCATCCAGGGCTTATCCAAATAAAGGAAGGCGGAGGCCCAAAAATTAGGAAATAAAATAAAACAGTTACGTTCATTGTGACATTCGGCTTCCAAACATTGTCCTTGTTCCTGATATCAGCGATTATAGATATATTCTTATCGATTTTGAGCATGGTAGTAAAGGTGGATTAGAAGCAACTGAACATTTGAAGGATTGGGACAATGCAACGCTAACGAAGAATAATAGCACAATCTGATTTGTATTAGTTTGAAAATATGTTTAGGAAACTTAATATGTTGAATTCAGAAGTTAAAAAGAAATTTTTAAACGGTTAGTTAAAGAATGTACTTGATCTATACACCTACAACTTCGCAATATATTTTATCCTTAATATTTGATTTATTCATAACATTAAAAAAATAGTATCTGTTGTCCACTATCAGGTAAATAAAATGTCATTATATTTTATTGATCATTTATATGATAACTAGAGTTTGTAATTTGCAGAAAACTTTGTTTCCTGTTTAGCATTAAGTGATTAATTATATAATCAGTTTTAATTATACTTAAATTTTATTTATGCAAAAATAAAAACATTTAACAAATTTTTTGCAAATTGAAGGTTTATAAAAAATGTATTTATAATGATAAAGGATTTGTTCTAACTGATTCATTTGTAATATAAGCAAAAGGATGTAATGAAGCAATATACAATATTTGCTTGACAAGCAGATAAAATCAGTATTTGATATGACCTGATTTTTTAACAGTTTAAAGGATTTGTCTAATCTTTTATTATTATTATCTTAAATCATTTAGCATTTATTATTTTGCAAATGACTTAAATAACAAATGATAAAAGGCTAATGTTATTTAATAGTTATTTGAATCATTATTATTTTAGTCATTTGCTATTAATAAAAATTTTTTTAAATGAAATATGCATAATAAAAAGATTTATTAAAAATTTAAATTGAATAAAAGTTTTTTTAATTAAAAGTAGCTTATTAATTATTTTATAATTTTATTATTTTTTTAGAACTTAATATTTTTTAATTCCTTTTTTAAATTACAAATAAAATTATACTTTGATATAACAATATAGGCATTTATGCTAATTGATCTTTGTTATAATGAATTATTTAGTATGATATAACAAAATTTGTTATAATGATGTATTATGTATTATAAAATAAAGCTATAATTAATAAAATTTATAATGAATAGTATAAATTTTTTAACAAATCTAAATCCATTTCTAGTGATCTAAATTTCATAAATATTAGCTCATTTTAAAAATCTTAATATGCTAAAACTAATGGTCTTGAAACTATAAAATATAATAAAAAAGCTAAAACTTAAGTTAAATTTTATCAATTAACTTTATAAATAATAAACAATTATTTTACTTTTTATAATAGAAACAAAACTACAATATACCTTTAACTATCAAAATTAAATGAAAAAAATACTGAAACTTAAAATTTATCAATTGACTAGTTAACTTTTCAAATAATAAATAGATTTTTTTACTTTTCTATAATAGAAACAAAATCACAAAAATATTATTAATTATCAAAATCAGACGAAAAAGAGCTTAAATATAAGTTAAATATTAGTTAACTTTTTTAATAATAAACTGATTTTTTATTTATAAAAAGTCAAAATTAACAAAAAAACTGATATAAAAGTTAAATTTATTAATCAATCAGTAAATTTTCAAATAAAAAACTGATTTTTTATTTTTTATTATTTTATTTATTATTTTTATATTTTTGAATGATTTTAAAAGGAAAATAAATTATATTTTTATATTTTATTTTTTTTTGATAATACTAATATTATAGTAATAAATATTTAAGCAAATTTTAAGAGATTTTAAGAGGAAATAGATCATATTTTTATTATTATATTAATATAATATTTTGTTTATTTTTTAATAGGAAATTAATCAGCAAGTTATAATAATATTTTTGTTATGACTTTATAAATTTATATTAGATTTTTATTATTAATAAAATTTTAATATTTAATAAATTTAATTAAATAAAAATATATTGATTTTATATATTTATTTAATTAAATTGATATTAAATTAAGATCAATTTTAAGCTGATTTATGATTATATAAATTATAAATTAATATTGAATTATTTATTCAATTAAAGTTGATCAGCATTTTTAAACTGATTTGTTTTTGAATTAAGCTTCAAATTAATGCTAAATTAAATTATTTTAGCTAATTTATAATTAAATATAAGTTTTAAATTAATTCTAATAATTTTATTTAATTTAATTCAAATATTAGTAATTTAAACAATCAGAAAATATAAGAGCCATAACATTTATTATATAATACAGTTTACTATAAGGCTTAACTCCCTATTTCATATAAGATATTATGTGATACTAATAAACTTTATTATATTATTTATGTTATATTTTTTATTAAAAATAATAATTTATTTTATATAGATACTTAGTATTTTTATATTAAATATCATATTTATATTTTTATACAAATATATACCCTTTTAAATAAATATTTAACTATAAAGAATTTGCCTTTTAATATAAAATTAAGAATTTTCATGTCTTGATTGCTGTTATAATAAAATTATTAAAGAAATTTTTGTCTTAATGCTATTTTAATATAAATCATTAATGTTTAATATATCTATAAAGAAAATTTAAATTATTTTATATTTTATTAAAAAAATTTTTATGAAATATTGCTACTATAAACATGTCTTAACTATTAAATCTTAAAGATTTAAAAATGCGTTATTAAACCTACTTTTACAGTCCTAAATTTAATAAAAAATTAATTTTTAATTCACCAAATAATAAATATCAAGAATTAATCAATGCTTATACATATAGTATTATATTAAAAATAAGAAATAGTACATTAAATTGTGCTGTTATTTGTAATAATATAATAAAAGAATAGAGAAATATTAGGAATAAAAATATTTCTAAAATTAATAATATAATTAAAGGATATATATTATTCTAATTAACCCATACTTTATACCTATAATAAGAGCTAACTACTCTAATCCTATAATAGAACTAACTTCTTCACCTATAATTGATCTAATTGAACCTATACTGTAAGTTTCAAAAAATGCATTAGTTCAAAAAAAGGTAGCAGACACAATTATAATAGTTGAAAATAAACTTATTAAATTAAATTAAATTTATAATATTATAATAGATTTTCAATTTAAAAATGATACAAATTCAAAAATTGTAGTAGTTAAATCTGAAATTAGCATAAATAAGATAAAATTAGTAAATCAAAATAAAATGCAATATATACATAAAATTGCAAAGTAAAGAAACTTAAAATGCTTATTAAAAATCAAGAAGTAATTTGATACAATATGACGGGTAAAATTTTAGATAGATTTAATTGGAAGAATAGGAAGTTAATTTTATTGTTATGTAGATCTTCTATGAAGATAATTTTATTTATTTTACTGCCGTCGATCTATTATGTAAATCCTTAGATGTTAATTTTATTGCCTTTGATAATCACGTAGATCATTGATGTCTATTTAGTTACCTGCAAATCTGGCAATTTATTGACACAGCAACTTTATTGCCTAGCAAAATGGCAACTTTATTTCCTTCGATATATTTAGTTTAGTTTATTTTATTATTTATTCAACATGTATAAATATCTCTGTATTTTCTTTGAGTCTCAGCACTGACGAGATCTTAATCTTTTAGGTACTGAACTTATTTATTATATTAATAAAGGAGTATAATTAACCAAGTATAAAACTTATCCTTCGCAAACCCTTTGAAACTGTTATACATTATCTGTGATCCTTTGCATTCGTGCAATCCCTTTTGTTAGTTAACTTATTATATGATATTGTATTGATTTGCTGTATTGACTTGGAGTCTTTGAAGCGTAATCTCTAAAATATCTTTGAGTTATCTTTATGTTTATTTTGTGTTTATCTTATGTATTTATTATTGAGAATAATTCTTCGACATTATTGTGAATCCTCACTCGTGATTCCTTGAGTAATTGTCTTAATTTTATTTACCCTTTTGAGATTTTATTTGAAGTTACGAAATCTAACGTAATAATGATTATTCTAGATATCTATCGTTACTTTTTAAATATCTAAATTTATATGATAGATTCATAACTCAATTGAATTTAAATCAGCAGATTCAAAAAGAAGGAAAAAGTTATTAAAATGCAGATCATTGAATATTTACATAAAAATCTTGAAAAAATTATATATATATAGCACAAACAATTATCTCTTATTTAAATAAGCTAACTCAATTGCTACAAAGGCTTATCATCATCTAGTATAAGTTGCTGTAGCTAGAGTATTATATACAGATACTAAAGGACATTTTGATAAATACAATTATCTTACATCTGTTAAATATGCAAAGCTATTTACTTTTATGTTTGCTAATATATCTATTATTATTTCATAAGATGATAAAGTAAAATAGGTCTTAAAATACCTATAATAGGTCAGATATTTCACACCTTACAGTCAATAATAAGCTTATATCTGTAGCTGAATATGATTTTTCTATCGAAAGCTGGCAAAAATTGATTTTTTTAATATATTTAATTATGAAACTGATAAATTAAAAGATGAACTTCAATCAGGATAGCTTGCAATTTATATACACTTCTAATAGTCTATTAGTACTGTATATTCTTACTTACATATATAAGATCTAAAAAGTCTCATCTTAGATTCCAAATATGATAATATGCTAAAAACTAATAATAGACAAATTTAGCCTATTTGGATATTATTAGTAAATAGAGGATCAGATGAAAATCCTAGACATTTAAAAAACATAAAGACATATTATCAGCTTTTATAAAAGTTTGATTTAGATTACTTAAGTATACAAATTCATACTTTAGAATAGTCTAAATATAATCCTATTAAAAAGGTATAATGATATTATCTGAAAAACTTATCAGAATTATATTACCAATTAATCATTTTGATAAATATTTAAATTCGCATAATAATTTTATAGATTCTGAATTGGCAACTCAGAATTTTCAACATGCATGTTAGAAAGGCTTTTTGTGATATTTGAAGTCATGATTTAATTTTTGGAAATATATTGATGCTTAATACATTATCACAATCAGAAATTCTTTTGATGATTTGCTATTTAAAAGTATAGAAAAGAGAAAGATGAAATACAAGAAAGAAAGAAAAGTAAAAACAAAAAAATGCATAAAATAAA